CTTTCGTCACAATACTAAGAATCCTAAAAAAAAAATTGGATGTCAGAGACATTGTATTTTTATTACATAATTAATGTAATAAGCCTATATTTATTACATGTGCATGCATAATGATGTTATTGAGTTGTAAGGAAGCCAAACGAAGGCACAGCGTGGGCAACTGTTCACCCCCTTCAGGATTAAAAAAGAAAACACGTTCTTACTAACTACACCAACGCAAGCTTTTACTATTTAACGCAATCATCCTAAAGAAAACATAAAAATTCTTGTTTTAACACGTTCAACTTCGTAATCATCTACATCTACACTTTTCCCTTGTTTTGTAATAATTTATTAATTCAATTATTATTTTCATGAAACAATAGGTATCTTAAAAAAAAATTAATATGGGAGTCTTTTGTTGTAGAGTTTCCGTAGGCGGCAGGTAAATTTTACGTTTATTAAAAAAGAATGCGGAACAACGGGTCACACGATACATGCGTGTGTGAATTTCTAAAGAGCGACGGCAAGTTCTAGATCAGTTATTTATTGAAACTACCAGACGGGGAATCCGATTTCAAACGAAGCGATTTTGTAGTGAAATTTTAAGGAATAGCAGGTAATAATTTTGCAAATTTTGGCTCGGGATTCTGTGGTGGTGCCAAGCAAGAAATTAAAATGCCTCTAAATTTTGCTTGACGTATTAATTAGCAGGATACAATTTGAAATTGAAAGGTAGCTAGTAATAGTAACACAGCCCATAAATTGAAATCGAAAATTTTCTATTTATATTGTGGTATAAATAAGCTACGACTTACTCACACCATCCGTAAACCAAAGCCACAAACATTCAAAAATATCAACTACTTAAGTACAATATACTACATACATGTACAAGTTATGGGGAGTCGTTTTAATGTAAAGTAACCAGCTACGGCTGTTACCAATGAAAATATTTTGGTTAATTTTTTAAAAAATGTGTTTATTTTCAATCAGGGTTGAGATGATTTAAATCATGATTGTAATCAATCTAACTTTTTTTTGGTATAAAATCATAAT